ATTCCCGGGATCTGCCCCTAGGGGTGCTGAGTGATGAACTGTTGAACGACAAAGAAGCTGTCGAGCTGCGCAAAGAGGTGACCTTTAAGATCAGGAACCTTGTCTTGGACGTTCGTCGATCTCGCGGACTGCCCGACGAGGACCCGAAGGAGGGCTTGGTGGATACCTGGCTCGAAGAGGGTCCCAAGCGTGAGGGCCATATGAAGGACGATTCTTGGGTTCGGGATATCTGAGCCCGTGTGTATAGATTGTATAACATTGTATAGATTTTATTATGAGCAACAGTGAGTCATTCTGCCAATCTTTGTTTTTGTTTTCTATATTTTTGAGCCGCAAATGTCAGCCCATCAAATGTGGGGGCGATAAGCGATAAAAGCGGGAAAGCTTCCCGGAGACACTTGACTTCGTCAAACCCGCAGCTCGACCACAGATGCCCAAAAAGCACCAGCGGTTTCACGCAAAGCCAGCCAACTTAGCACATCACAGCCTTGCATTATCTGGGTCTCGTCATGATGGCGGGTCTGGGGTACAGGGCTCCGCGTCAGCGACGTCAGTCAACGACTTAATCAGTCACCTCCGACGTACACAGACGCCTAGTGCTTCATCCGATGATCCTCCAAGCTCGCAACGTGCTCGGCGCTCGTTTGTGGCTCCCCGCTCAGTTCATCCGTCTCTTCGGGATGTACTCGAGCTCCCTGCAACCGCGCCACCGCGACCTCGCCCCGGTCCTCGTCGCACGGTATTCGGGGTTCGCCCAACTCGACCAACTGTTGGACCTCCGCCGCCTGCGAGTTGGCTCGCTGGAAATACGGATCCGGCGGGAGATCAAGGATCGCACCATCGGATGCCGGAATCTTCAGAAGAGGAAATACACCGGTTGGCCCGCCTCCCGGGGCCGCTGTTCCCAGACCATCGGAGCCTGGTACATCTGGTGCTGAAAACAATGGCTTTGAACTGGTGTTGGCATCTTGAATATGATGGCCCTTTTCTGGCCCATCTTCCAAATCATATTAAGGAACTGCTGCTGAGTTATGTTGCTGTGTACGCAAGAGGCCCGCCACTGAGAGGGTACATGAAGGGCCTGAAGCCACTCTTTTTGACCCGACATGACCAGGATCAAATTGGCAAGGAGGTCCCAGGGTTTAATGAGTCGGGAGCTATTGACGGGGATTTCAAAATCGTGCGATTGGATCTGGGAAATGCTCTGGGGAACTGGATAACTTTGAAACAGCTCACAAACGAGGTGACCATCTCGCAGGCTCCAGTCGTGGGAGTCTCAGGTCATGAAACAGAGGAGATTATTCCAGCTTCATGGGATGAAGATGTTTATAACGGCCGAGAGGAAGCTATGGATGATCGTCTTTCAACTCCGTCCATTCCCAAGGCCATTTCCCAGACTCTACGCTTCCCCCAACTCCGCGCCTTATCTCTAGCACACCCGACACCTAGTGCTGCAAGCTGGACTGCTCTTCTCAATCTATTAGCACATTTGCCAACCCTGACTCATCTCTCGCTTGCCCATTGGCCTATACCGTGCCGAAATCCAAGCGCTGCCACTACTCGGATTCGCAGCTCAGTGGCCCGCTTCTTGGCCCCAGACGCCCTTGACAACAATTGGGCCGAAGCTGCGAGTATTCTCCGTCAGCTATCCCGTTCGACGTACTGCCTGAAATGGTTGGACCTTGAGGGCTGCGGCGAATGGCTACCAGCTTTAAAATGGGTTGGGAAAGACCCGGATGGGTTCCCACAGAGCCCTGATACCGTTGGCCCAGAGTGGAACAGATCTTGGAGAGATGTCGAATGGCTTGGCATCGGCCCCGGCTTTCTGGATTTGACGGAGTCCCACGACTCGTCTCATGTGCCGTCTCATGAAGTCTCCACGCTGCAAACAGGCTTGCCGAACTCTTCTATCCATGCATATCACCTTCAAAATGCGCGTGATGTGCTAAAGCACATTCGGCAGATAAGGAGGGGGAAGAAATGGCTCGAAATCGAGCTCGGTTCAGGGTTGAAAGACGTTGAACCTGAAACAATCAGATCGCTGGATGGGCAGGAATTATTGGTTTATTTATAAAAGTCTACTGTATGCACAATGATCTATGTACAATGTATATCACTGAAGCGAAAAAGAAAGCATCCTACGCATGCAATCAGGAGCGCAAATTGAGACTATTTTATTTATGTCTGACTATACAATGGTATCCGGACAAAACGCCCGCAGATTTTAAAACTATGCAACTATTTTTTGGAACGATTAAACGTCTTCAGGGGATCAACCTTCCCACCAGCCTTCCCACGCGCACGATTGCGATCTCTTGCCTTGCGGATGCGATTCTGCTTCGTCTTTGAGAACCCAACGAATCCAACATCCTTCGAGAGACCCTTGCGTCCCTTAGCAGGCATTAGGTAATCAGGCACATGCTTGAGATGCGCCTGGACACGCGCAGGGCGCAGCTCGCCGTCGTGGCGTAGCTGCCGCAATTCTTCGGGGTTTTCCTCGAAATGGCGCTTGAGCTTTTCGCTCTTGATCAGTTCCTGGCGGATTTCACGTCCTCGTGCTTCTTGCACTGCAAGTCTGGTCACGGAACGCAGGGCATCTGTCATACGGTAGCGGAAGGCATCGACTTGCGACATCTCGAAGTGGTAGGGCTTGACTTCGTGGCCGAGCTTGGCTTGCCGCTTGATGATCTTGGCGAGCAGGGCTTCGTCATGCTTTGTGCTGGGGATTGAGGTGGGGCGGTGCTTGCCGTATTGCTCGGTGGGGATAACGAAGGAGAGAGCCATTCCTGCTTTGCCGGCGCGGCCGGTACGTCCGATGCGGTGGGTGTAGGATTTGGAGCTGGTGGGGAGGTCGAAGTTGAGAACGCAGGCGACATTTTGGAAATCGATGCCGCGAGCAATGCTGTAGTCCTTTTCCTTGCTAGTCATCTTGCGGCGCTTCTTGGATTCCGGCTTCTTTTCCTTTCCACTTTCATCAACTGCCTCTTCATCTTCGCTGCTTCCCATCTCCTCCTTTGCTTCCTCTTCGGTTTCCTCCTTAGCTTCGCGCGACTTCTTCGACTTGGGCACTCCCAATACTGCTTGCTCGTCGGCTGCGACAATGATGTCGTATACGCCCTTATTGAATTCTTCGACAACGTGGATTCGCGAATTAATGGGAAGTTCTGAGTTCAGGACACAGCTCTTGAGACCGAACTGTTCAAGGAAGAGCTTCACACGGTAGCATCGGTCCACATCGGCTACGAAAATGATGACCTTTCCTTTGATCAGCTGCAGTTTGAAAATGACATACGTGAGAAGGAATTTCTCGTCTTCCGCGCATCTGTGGAGTTGAGTTAGCAACTGCTATAATAACGGCAGTAGGATATTGTCTTACCGGACAACAAACTGGCTGACACCAGCACCCTTCTCTTCCTTCTCCTCTAGCTTGAGAATCACAGGGTTCCGACAGTACAAATCTTTCAATGTATCTACCTCCGAAGTGAGAGTAGCACTCATCAAAAATGTCTGCGCGCCTCGCGGGATGGCCTTGGCGAGAGCATTGATTTCCTCGTCATATCCGTATGACAAAACCAAGTCTGCCTCATCGATGACCAAATGAGTGACTTTATCGAGCGACAAAGCGGAGTTGTTGACATTGCTGTAAACCCGGGTAGGTGTCGACACAACGATATCCGGGAAATCGGCCAGCATCGAGCGCTGAACTTCATCCGAAACCTTCTGTGTTAAGTTGACTGACCGGATGTCCTTTCCGCAGAAACAAGCGAAAGATGTGATCACTTTCTGGACCTGTTCTGCAAGCTCGCGAGTGGGGACAAGAATAAGAGCGGTTGTGGCTTTTGAGGAGGGATCGGCCTATTTGTACAGTGTTAGATTGAATTCCATACCAAGTACATATATATAGAAGGGGGAAGAGGAAACGAACAGTCTTCTGCTGGAGGATGGCTTGCAGGATTGGAAGGACATAGGCGGCGGTCTTGCCAGAGCCAGTTTTCGCACGGGCTATTTCTGTCAGCTCTGCTTTTTGATTCATCGATTCAAGAGGCTCGTCTCACCAAGAATATCTTTTCCTTCCAGAGCAAGCGGAATCGCCTTGGACTGTACAAGAGTGGGTTTGGTGAACTTTTCCTTGATCAGAGCCTGGCGCAATCGAGGATCGAGGTTGAGGGCTTCAAAGTCCAATTCCTGATCCTCCACCCCAGCAGCCTCCGGGGATGGAACATCATTTGCGTCTAACTTGCGTTTCATCGCCATTGTGTTAGATATTTCCTTGATCGAATCTGCAGAAGTTGAAACTTTTTTTGGAAATCTTGTCGGGCGGTGAGTTTATTGCGGGCGGTGAATTGGAAGATTTTATGTATGACATAATCTTGCTGCCTCAGGCGGAGCTCCGTGGAACAACTATAAATGATCGAGGAGAATCTCTGAGTCTTGGAGGCTTTGCTAATCTAAAGGATGCATGATAAGTCCGGTACATATCCGCACTGTAATCTTATTTGGGGATATGTAGACAGGTGTTTTTTTGTGACATATCCTACCCCCAGCCGAAAATATATCTCGGTAGTTGATATAGATCGATTTAAGCCTAAACACCAATCTTTCATGAATGGCCAGAACAGAGTGGAAAGTCCTTGACTAGTGAGCATAAAGGGCCTCCCAGGTAGACATATTCCAAGCTGTGATACAGACATCTCCCGACTCTATATTCTCATGTTGTTCTAAACCGTTGACTTATTGCAAGCAAAGCCCATCTTCAAGATCAAATACAGATGTCATCAAATTCGAAGAACCATTCATGATAAAACTCGCTATTCAAAATCAAATAACCGCAGACGTTAGATATAATTCCCGTATCGCTCCCCTGAACAAAACAAATACAAATAATAATAACAAACAGGAAGTCTGGATGTTGAATTGTCGACATGCATCGCCCCACAGGCAATGTAGACCGACATAGAAGCATCTTTCCTGTGGATAAATTCTATGCTCGCGCTCTATTCCTAGTTGATAAACTCACCCTGAGCGTATTCTAGGAATCTCGCCCGAGATGCTTCCGTGATCTTGCCCACGGGAAGAACTTTCACATTGTGCTCGACGGTATAAACTTTGCCAAAGTTCACTCGGGACATACAATCTAGCTTCTGATCAGGCCTGGCAGGATCAACCTCGAGTGGCTCTTTGGCCATCCGGGGTTCGAATTTCACAGTTCGAGGTCTATCGCCTCGCATGTGAATGACGGCATGTTTGCTGCGGTCAACCCCGGCTTTCGCCACGCCTTGGCCACTATAGGTAGTGATGGGTCTAAAATGATGGATTAGTATGATACAAATGCAGCTGACACTGGATGCAAATCTTTCCACGTACACACACCAGCAGCAGCCCTTCTGCTCTTTGACCACTACCATGCGTCGGATGCTACTGTATATGGGTTCTTGATACTTGCCCCGTGTGAATGGGCTTGACGATGAGGGAAGCTTCTCGCTGACGATAGTTCCATGCCAGCCTGCATTCTCATGCCAGAGCATCGAAAAGACCTGTATGATCGCAATCAATTATCAGCAGGGCCTTCAACTGACATGCATGTGAGGTGAACAAACCCTGCCAACTCGGAAAAATCTCCGAGGATCGCTCTGCCTCTTGTAGCCTGATGCGTGTGAATCATCGTCAGTTTCTTTTTCCGGATATGCATAAAGCGGGCCTAGGCTGTTGCTTACGAGGATCAAGTGTGTCATGTTCGCTGCTACTGCCGGGGATCACGTATGCAGGTTCCGAGGACTTTTGCTATGTCAAAATTAGCCAATCAGTCCAAACAGGAAGGAAAACTAACTACTTACCACCTTTCTGTCATGCCTTTTTCGTTGGACATCCCCGGGAATGGAATCATTGCAGTGACTATGACTGCTGGCCTCATAGGGCAGCACCATATGCGAGGCTGGATGATCCCCGAGACTCAATCCCTGCAGATCCTCGATATGGATTTCGGGAATGGATACATCACTTCTTGACGAGCTAGTGACATCGCTACGGTCGGATATGCTTGCAGACCCTGTTCTGCGACCGGTTGTGTCTCTGGCTACCTTGTACTGCATTCCCGGGCTCCATTCTGGCGGACTGCTTGCCTTGCCATCTGTCACTGTGCCTGCACCTGGGTATATACCATTATCCACTTGGTGATTGATAAGCTGCTGGTATCCGGTCGGTGGAGTCCGGGGATTGAAATGATCGTTGGTATATGCTTGGCCGTAATCGAGCGGGTCCTGCTGATGTACACGATTTAGGCGACTTGCATGAGGGTCTAGCCCGGGGTGGAATGGGAGCTGATGTCCGTATGCATCTTTGAGTGTGGGAAACGCGGACTCGGAGGTGCTTCGTTGGCATAGCGCGACGCTTTTATTAAACGGATTACTTCCCCGGACTTCTCACACAAGAAGAATGGAAGACTAACCTTGAATCTTGACCCGCTATGGCAGGAGTTAACTCGCCACCCATGCAGTCCCATTCGTAGAGAAACTCTCCTTTTGTTACGGTCAGTTACTGCAATCGGTCTTCATGCAGCCAGTGATGCACACCAGAATGGTTGTAGATGGGCCGAACCCATCGGTTGCTCTCATGATGAAGTACCCAGTTCGAAGCCATGACTTTTACATACAAGAGGAAGAAATTAGAAATCGAGGAAGATCAGGCAGATAAATATAAAAGCCTTGGGGTTTCTATATCGCTCATCTACTACACCCCTCCAGTACCAGTACCATGCGGCTCGGACCGTTTACATCACCAATATCTTAAGAGAGATAGTATATGCATGGCGCGTATGATATGGATCAAGTTGGTTTGTTCTCAAGCGCTGACTCGCGAGAGAGGCTTTGGCAAGCAGCACATGATCGCTGAGTGGAAGTAGAATCCAATGAGAGACCTGTCAATGAGGGGCTTAACTTATTGTGGCTGATATACCTCTAATGCTTTGGCTCACAATTTACCATTGCATTCAGGGTAGCCAATAATACATTGAAGCGCAGGCGCTAATGCAATGCAGGTGGATTACGGAGTAAGGGTCATTGGAGGTTTCGATTTGGACATCAAAGCGTCAGTAACTGCGCCTTTTACAACCCCCAGATGTGGTGTAGCTTCGAGGACAAAGCTCTCCTATTCTCTTCTCTTGAGAAATTATCGGGTTTATCAATAGCATTCTTTCCTCCAGGGCTGTTCAACCTTGCTTAGCAATATTCGAATGTGTTGGTCTATAATCTCCGTTGTGGAATATGACGGGGGTACTCCTTACTGTGAAACCATTAGCAATGGCATCTTGGCCAGGCATCGTATGGAATCGTTTATCCCAGGTGACTTGACCTATATCAATATGTACTATGATCGAGGCTCATCACGGTCTCACTATGTAGCCGCCGTCCACGGCAGATGGTTATGCCAGAACTAGAAGTGAAGTCTGCCTTCCGAGTATCTTATTCGCTCTAACTGGACGGTTGGAGGGGTCCTCGAGCATCGAGATCTACAGCATCGGAAACCCTGCAACGGTTATCGCCACTTCCTCAGGTGTTCTTTCTCCAAAAGCAACATCCACAGCGCTAATAGGCACCTTTCTGGACTATACATACAAGACCGACGAAGCCACCAAAAGCGAGTCATGGATAGAACGAATATGATGCTTTGACCGAGTCATCCGTGCCATCCTTCCTGATTTAGTACCCTCCCGGAAATACATAACCAACCAACTGGTATGGAGTACCTGCGCCGCCCCCTGAATCAACCCGTGACACTGCCAACGTGGCAAAGACTATCAGGAAAGTACCTGTCAGTTAAGCGCTATCTGATCCGAAAAATGCGGGAAATGCGGCTTATGCCTCGACAGGAACGTGATGAAGAAAATGATATGCAGGTGTACTACGGACCATGCTGAATATCATAACTGCCGAAAACGTAAATCACACCATCGACAATCTCAGCGTCTTATTTCATTTTTGAAAATGAGTGTCATAGACAGGACGCATAACTAGCGCAGGTAGAGTACAATCACAACAGACGTTCAGAAATATTACAGACCATATCCAAGTATTAAATTGACCAGGTGGCGCAGCTGCAACCTATTACCCCGGACACCGAATCTTCGCCGGCGGACTACACCTCTGACTATGAACCCATATGTCGCCTCAGTGGCTGATTACCTCCCTAGTTGGTGAGGCATTCTTGTAGCCTGGAGAGAGTCTTCCCATTCCAATAATAACTTCTAAATCGAAAATAGGTGAACACTGCCAATGAGCCTCACCACTACCTAGCCCAACCCAAAAACAAAACCCTCAAGCTCAGCATAAGCCCTCCCGAGATCATCATTAACAATAATCCTCTGAAAAACACCCGCAGTCTCCGCAAACTCAAGCTCCCTCCTCGCGCGATCAAGTCTAGCCCGAATATCCCTCTCACTCTCCGTCCCCCGGCCCCTAAGCCTCTCCTCCAGCACACCAAGATCCCGCGGTTTAACAAAAACATAGCGGGCATCAAACCCGCTTGTTTTCACCTGCTGCACGCCAGTCATCTCGATATCAAGAATCGGAATGAGACCTTTGTCGAGTATTTCCGCGAGTGCTGCTTTACTCGTGCCGTAGAAGGCACCGGTGTACATGGCGTCTTCTATTAGATCCCCGTTGTGCTTGAGAGTGTTGTATGTCTCGACCGAGACGAAGTGGTAGGATATACCGTCTTTTTCACCGGGGCGTGGTTGCCGCGTTGTGTGGGAGACTGTTAGTTCGAATGTATGGGGGTGTGTGTCGATGAGCTTTTGGATCAGGGTTCCTTTGCCTGCGCCTGAGGGACCGGAGATGATAAGTGGTCGGCGGTCTTGGGGTGCTGTTGTGGGGATTAGGATGTTGTGGATTTGGGAGGTTGATGACGTACAGGAAGCCATGTCGTCAACAACGAGGGGTTTTTGGCTTGACGATAATTTGGGACGGGTGGTAGTTGAATATGCACAAGAAACGATGTATGTGTGTATCCCAACCTCAGGTTGTGGTTTAAAGGAAGTACATGGTGCAGAGCTAAAGTGTATGTCGGACAACTCGGAAGCGACCGTTTAAACATGCCTAGGTGGCTAGCAACAAATGAAATATCTACACCTACTACAGTGCAGACATATTATCCATTTGCATCGTGATTCTCTTCATTATGTACATGACCAAAGCAATTTCCCATATCCATATCCATAAGTCGATCGGCATTTGCCGTAAAAAGCACGCTATTTCCATAACCCAATAATTGTTGAACGTTCAAAATCAAATCCCATACATCAAGTAGGGTATCTCGTACATCAAACCCTAGCCCGATCTGCAGTCGTAATTCATGAGTACTGTGTCTCGCCCTCACTATCACTCAGACTGTCACGACGACGGCTCCGTCCATCGCGGCGGTATCCCTTCGTCAAACCAGGAATTGGATGCTTGTAGCTCTTGGTACCTGAATCCTCGGTGTCCACGTTGGAGTATTGATATTCGGAACGGGATCCTGCAGATGAGAAATCCAGGGGCTCGGTGAAGTGACCGTGGGGCACAGAGCGGCGCTCACGGTGCTTGCGAGGGCTGCTAGTACGAGATGAAGGTGCGGAAGGTGGGGCGGGTAGGGCAAGCTCACTGCGTCGTTCGCGACGGCGGTTGTGGCGGCGGGTTGATGGGTCGCGGATACGAGGCTGATCGGTAACTTGGCTGATAACATCCTCACTGCCTTGGGTGAACGAGAAGCCGGAGGGATCACGGTGCTGACGTCGTGGCTGCTCGTAAGCGAAGTCATGAGCATGGCTCATTTCGCTCTGTTGGTAGTGGGTAGGCGGGGCGGAGGTGTCGTAGTCGCTGCCATTGTAGGTTCCGTCGGCTTCGCGGTTCATGCCACCAATGCGAGCGGGCTTTTCTGCTCGGTAGGCGCGTACGTCGGCATCATCTGCACCTTCCCACTGCTCGTGCTTGTTGCGCCGGAGAAGTTTCTCTTTAGCGGTCTCTCTGAACTTCTTGCGCCGTGACTTCTCCTCCGTGACAGTTGTCGCTGTGTCGTCGTATGATCCTTCTGTAAACGAGTATCCGTCGTCGGTGTAGCCCTTGCCGACAACACTTCCGCCACCAAGATTGGTACTCGCTGTGGCATTACTGAGAGTCTTTCCGTCGGGTCCCTTTCGTCGTAGAACGGTGGACTTGTAGTCATCCCAGTCGCCCTTGCGCCAGACAAATCCGCCGTTCTTAGCCCAGAAGAAGAACCAGATTCCTCCTATGACAAATGCTAGTCCGATAAGGGCAAACAAGGCCATCAGGCCTTGCATCTTGATGCTGTGCGGGTCGACCGTGCCTGCGCCATATTTTGGCGTGGAATCCGAGTCGTCTGAGTCTCGTGGGAGGAGCTTATGGGGATTAGGGTCGACCGAAGATAAGGTATTAGCAATGTTCTCGCTGCTGACATCCCGGACATAGAGTCCGTCAACGGTTCCTCCTGGAATGTCGGCGGAGGGTCCGGTCGGCCAAAATGGAGGCATGGTGGAGTATTAGAGTGGCCAAGAGCACCCGGCTCAAGACTGGACTCACTATCGGATCGTTAGTACTTTGGCATCCTTGGGATTGAATTATGAGGTACATGAACATACATTGAGGCAAGTGATCAACACCAGATGTAGGTAGAGATCTCTGACACCTGGAATGTGGGTATAGAATGCGGGTGCAGAATGTGGGCAAAAGCGAAGCACAGTGTCTAGATCGTAGGATGTTAAGATAAGAAGATTGGGAAATATCAACCCATATGTATGATTCAGCTTGACTTTCGGCATGAAATTGAGGAGGTTGGAGAGAAGAGGCTGGGACTGGTGTTTACAATGGTTGTCACGGGCAACCTGATTACATCATCCCCCACACTGACTGGCGTCCAGGGGTCCGTGTACGGGTAGAGTTGGGCCACCCGTGGGTCGATCTATAAAAAGAGTCGATCGCAATTGACTTCTATTTAAATCTGAAACATGCCCTTTGCTAGAAAACGGATTTAATAATGGATCAATTATATCAAGTCGACAAATGCCACCCGCTGGAATCCTCCGAAAGAGACATACACAGTCGAAAGCTGTGATCACGCCCAGACAGCTTGCGGGGTATCAAAACCAACTAAGAAGCAAACGCAGGAAAATATATCAAGACCGATGGACGATAGAACACGGAAGATCAGCAACACCGCAGAAATCAACCGAATGAATACAAAGCCCAAGAACAGAACTACGAGGCTCCCAGCGGGACCAAATACCAAATACCAAGACACATAAAATCATAGATATGGCCAAAGAAAAAGATGACCTGTTGAGACATGACAAGTAAACAGACATGGGTATAATCTCTCTCCGCCACTCGGAGTCGCGAACAAGGTAACCAGGAGAAAGACACGGGCCCAACAAGAAAGGCTATACAAGAAACGCTGACAAAAAGAAGACATCGGAAAGTAAAGCACATCAGACTTGTCATTGCAGGTCATCAGAATCGTACAATCATATCGCCATAATAAACACATCATCATGGGGTTTGTGCCCGACCATTTTGCCCAAGCACACAAATAAAGAAAGCAAATCGAGCCAGCAGTTGCAAATGGAATCACACAAAAGTCCTCCCATTTTAGCGAGACCATTGGGCAACAGAGAACTCTGGACCTCATGACAAAGTCCAGCCTGTTCCCCAAGTTGCCCAACAGAGCCTCGCGTTAGGTAATCCCCGTTGTTTTTTTGTTGCACAAGCACCCGATCCCAAAGAAGAAGAGAAAAAAAAAAAAACGCAAAGCAATCGAAACTTTTGAAAAATGAACAAGGCCAGCCACATGGTTATGTAGACACAAGATGGAATCACAACAAAAAATAATATCTGACCATGAAAGAAGAAAAGAAACACAGAAAATGACACATCTAACAGGGGTAAAAAATCAATGGTAGCGAGTAGTCCCGTAGGTCGACTGGCTGTCTCGACGACTAGGTCGTTCCGACCGTCTATCATCCCGCGGACGCCTCACCACATCTTCAAGTTCCCGACGGCTGGAGCTACCCGCATAATCAGAGCTGGTACCGTTCACACGCTGCTTGGATGGCCGCGGGCCACCGATGTTCAATCGGACAGCCCCAGTCTCCCCAGCACGAATGTTAATAGATTTGCCAGCGACTGCTTCAGGTGCAAATCCAATTTGGAATCCGTTCAACGTGAGGGTCATGTTCTTGTCATCCTCCTTCTGTGAGGCCGTGGCACTGCCGCGGCTGCCGCTCGACCGACTGTTCTGGCTGCCGCTCTCGCTCCCGTTGCGGTGAGACGCTTTGGTAGGGAGCAAGGACTCCGCGGAGAGAGGTAATGCGGGCGCTGAGGTTCGGCCGGATCGGGCTGCCTGATAGTTCTCGGCTTCACGCTCGCGATCTTCGAGATCACCGGCGGCGCTGGATGGGGCATCGTAGTAGTACTCGGTTGGCTTCCGTCGCCGAGAGCTGGCCACGGCCACCTGAGCAGACCGTCGATCATCCTGGTAGGACACGGATCGTCGGTGATCTCGTAGGCTACGGGCTCTCTCTGGCAACGGGGCGTCCCTTGAAACTCGACGACGGGCGCGGTCTTGAACCACCGGCAAGGCAGCTGCAAGTTCCGACATGTCCAAATCTCTGTCGATGCCTCGCTCTCTGTCGATGCCTCGCTCTCTGTCGATGCCTCGCTCTCTGTCGATGCCTCGCTCTCTGTCGATGCCTCGCTCTCTGTCGATGCCTCGCTCTCTGTCGATGCCTCGCTCTCTGTCGATGCCTCGCT